TCTGGGTTCATCTCTACCAACAAACAAGAGACCAGGAGATAGAATATAAAATTCTTCCTCTCCGATCATTGGGTTCATCTCTACCAACAAAAAAAAAGAGCATATTACTCCAATGGGTACACGAGTCTAAACTGTATTCCTCCCCTCAACAGGAAGTTTCTGGAGAATATTACTCAGAATATTCTTAAGAATAACCTGGTTACCTCCCAACGGGTATATGAGGTTAAACTATTTCCCGAATACTCCAATAAGTACACGAGTCTAAACTGTTTCCTTACCCTCAACAGGAAGTTTTTGGAGAATATCACTTAAAATATTCTTAAGAATAACCTGGCTACCTCCCAACGGGTATACGAGGGTAAACTATTTCCCAAGAACTCCAAAAAAATACATGAGTATAAACTGTGTTCCTATGAAGACTGATACAATGATTAACAATGCGGTATCAATTTGATGATAAAAGCTGAATTCACAAGTACAAACTCCAGCTTCAATTCAAGATCTCGACAACGGTCAAGCGATGAACGCCATGCCGAAAGAATCTTAGCTATTCTACAAAGCACCGAATAGACTGAGAGACAAAGAGATCAAGTGTTGAAGCCATCATAAGTAAGACCTATCTTATCCAAAGCATCCCAGAACTCCTCTATAAAAGATTGAGTCTGGAATACTTTGGAGGGGGTATCTGTAGGCGTCAAAAAATGCTGAGAGATATCCGAATACAGCTCAAAAAGGCAGAAGAACACAAGTATGGGCTGTCTCGCACGCGAGACAGACTTGACTGTCTCGTGTCTCGACGGTCGAGACAGCAAATGCTGTCTCGCGCGATTGTTTTCTGCCAACTGTTCATAGGGGCTATAAATACCCCCAGAAGGCCATTTTTTGAAGAGGCGGATCAGAGAGCATCCACAGGCTGATTTCAGAGCAGACAGGGCAGAGTACTCGAGCTTCTGTAACTCATTGATATTCAGGCTTTGACTTGATTTCAAGAAGAACGACTATCTTACCTTGATAAGATATCGTTTCAAGTTCTCACTTCGATAAACGAAGTCAGAATCATAAACCCCTCACGATTCGATTAGAATCTGTGATTTGGTGGTCCACGGGCTAACGCACCCCCGGCACAGGCAAAGATCCCACGCAAGCAGTGATCCAAACAACGATCCTGCGTTTGTTTCCCAAGAGTTGTAATTTTTATTTTGTTGTGTAAAAGAAGTCTTATAAAAAGGCTATCTCTTTTTGAATTTATTGTAATCGACTGAAGATATAATGAATTCCATGACAAAACCAACTTTTGACGAAAACACCCCCCACCTTATGTAAAGTGCCCTCCTTATTTATTTATGTGTTGACAATTCATTTTTTTAGCAATTTCCAATATAAAATTGGATTTTCCAGATGTTAGTCCCTTACATCTTCAATAATTTCATATTCGTCCCTCAAATCTTGGAAATTGCGTATGAGTTCCGCATATCTTCAACAATTTCATGTTACTCCCTAAAATCTTTAAAATTGAATATTAGTACCTCAAATCCTATAGGGTCTTGCAACATGGCCGCTCAAGTTTTATTTCGGTTAAAGAAACTAGTCATTATTGGGTTAACTCCTAACCCAAAATCTGCAATCACAAAATTACGCCTCTCTTCGCATATTGAATCCTTTGTGATGCTCAACTTTGGGTTAGCTTTTTTTGCTGACCTTTAAAGAAGAAGAACTCGGGTGAATTTGAAACTATTTTAAGTGGGTAGTGGGTTTACACCCATCGAGAAATTGGTTGGGGAACATTATAGAGGGATAACATGGTCCTTTTGCATATGACCTTTTGGTTTGTTGGAATTATCCCTCCAAACCTAATGTGATTTAACTCGAAGGACCCTATAAGATTTGAGGGACTAATATGCAATTTCGAATATTTGAAGGACTAACATGCAATTATTGAAGATTGAAGGGACTACTATGCAATTTCCAACATTTGAGGAATTAATATGCAATTATTGAAGATACAAGTCCTAATATCTAAAATTTTTGACGGGTATATATAATAGAAAACCCTCTAGTTTATTGAGCAGTCTCCTACCTCGATCATTTTCTAAAGGTTCTATCATTGAAAGGTGGTTTCATATAATTACCCTAATTTTTAGGTGGTTTCTAGGGGGGGGGGGGGGGGGGGGTGGGTTTTGNGTTTTAGGGGATTTTTTTTTGTTTAAGTACCCTATGACACAAATCTATTCGGATTAGCAAGAAATTATAAAAGAACCTTCTTAGTCATTTATATATCCATATGCTAAGACTCCTTAACCTTTAAAGAATTTAAATTTTTTTGTTTGAAGGAATAATAAAAGGCAATTCATTTTTTGAATATTTTCTGATATGAAAATGTATGATGTATATGTATTAAAAGACCTCCTCGAAAACCCATTAAGATTATTAATAAGCAGGTAGCTTGGTTAGTAGTAGTGAGCTTAGACCATAGCAACTCAAACAAAATCAATTCTTAGGTTATGTTGTTTTTGCAATTAGATTTTCTTTAATAATTTAACCTAGGGGATCTATCTGCAAACAACAAAACTATAAGAACTGTAAGTGCAAAACAATGATACTACAGAGGGTCTATGTGCAATTAACTCATAATTAATTTATCACGCGCTCATTTTATAGATCAAATAGGGTATTGCAACAGACATTCTTTTTTTCCCCTTCTGATTTTCACAAATCATCTAAAAATGACTATGCATTTCATTCCCAACAAAAATTATTCCTCAATTTCACCAGAATTCTGGCATTCTGGTGTAGTGGTAGAGAATTTAAGATGGTATCAGAGCAATTCAAATTCAATTCCTACCAATCATGATTTACAACATATTTATATTTTTTGGAAAATTGCTTCTAACCCCCAAAATAACTCCAAGTATCTTCCCCCCACCCAAGACTTTTTCAAAGCTTCCTAAACCCCTAAATTCAAACCCACAATTCTTTGAGCCCCCAAATCCCAAAATTTAAGAACTCATTTGTACTTCCAAACATTTAAAGACCATAATACCCTCCAAATTCTTTCAACGACATCTTGAAGAACATTTCCTTGATGATTAGAAATGGGTCTCGGAGGGAAAATTTTCTAGTTCCCTCCAAATTCTTTCAACGACATCTTGAAGAACATTTCCTTGATGATTAGAAACGAAACTTTCCTGACATCCATTCATGAGGTGAAAAACATTGAGATCTTGACGACATTGGTGACGAGCAAATGACAGAGCATCGAATCGACGGCGCTGGTGAATTTGAGGTGAGTTGCGATGGATTCAACGTCGTCATTTCCATAAAAAAGGTGGGAACTCCGGCGACTCCTGATGTGAGCTGTAAAATGAAGATAGATCAGGATCTGGAAATGGACACTCTAGATCGATCCAATTCGATTTGAATTTTACATATTGTTGTAATTTTTTGATGGTGTCTGTGAGAGTTCAATTTGCAAATAATAAAACGCTGGGTTTGGTTTGGCTAATGGGTTAATTATGCGATTAGTTGTTTGTGGAGGGTGATCTTGGTTAAAATATCAAATCGTGTAAGCATTTTAAACACTTTATTTTCCTTATGAGTTCGTTGTTAAGGTAATGAGTTTGTTGTTAAAGTTATGAGTTGGTTGTTAACTTTATGAGTTGGTTGTTAAGGTTATGAGTTGGTTGTTAAAGTTATGATTGGAGATTATGAGATTATGAGTTGGTTGTGAAGGTTATGAGTTGGTTGTGAATGTTATGAGTTGATTTTAACAACAAACTCATTACTGAGGTTCACAACAAACTCATGACCTTCAAAACCAACTTATAACCATAACAATCAACTCATAATCTTCACAACTAACTGATAATTTTCCTTCACAACTAACTCATAAGCTTAACAACAAACTCATTATAATAAAATAACAACAATATGTAAAATTATAGACTCAATTTTAATCATCGATTTCATAACTCTCTACTATTATATTACATATTATTGTAATTTTTTAAATCGATGACTTGAGATTAAAGCAAAGTCTGTAAATGTATATATTATTGTTATTTCACTGTAATGAGTTTGTTGTTAAGGTTATGATTTGGTTGTAAGGTTATGAGTTGGTTTTTAATGTTATAAGTTGGTTGTGAGGGTTATGAGTTGGTTGTGAAGATTATGAGTTAATTGTGTACTTCGGTAATGAGTTTGTTATTAAAATCAACTCATAACCTTCACAACCAACTCATAATATTCACAACCAACTTATCACATTAATAACCAACTCATAACATTCTTTCACAACTAACTCATAACTTTAACAATAAACTCATTACAGTAAAATAATAATAATATTTAAATTTACAGACTCTGCTTTAATCTCAAGTCATCGATTTTAAAAAAATTACAACAATATGTAAAATAAGAAAAAAAACATAGCACTCAGAGTCAACCATTTCCAGATCTTGATCCTTAGCTTCTCTTTGCAGCTCCCATCGGAGTCGCTAGAGTTCCCGCCTTTTTCTTAGGAACAGCAACGCTGAATCCATCGCAAGTCACCGCAGATCCGCCAGCACCGCCGAATTGACGCTCTGTCCTTTGCTTGTCACCAACGTCTTCAAGATTACAATGTTCTTCGTCTCATGAACGAACGCCAAGAAAGCTCCATCGCCAATGTGGATGCCGTTGGAAGAATTTGGAGGGAACTAGAATCACTACAAGAAATTATGTCTTTAACGAAGGGATTTCCCTTCGTTAAAGAGCTGAAAATCTTCGTTATTATATACCAACGATAGGAAAAAATCCATTCGTCACCCGTTGTTGAAGCATTCTTTGCTAAAGTGTCACGAATGTTATAATACTCGTCGTTATAGAGTCTACAACGACAGAACATATTATCATCGTTCATATCTGTGACGGTAATTATCAACGTCGTTACCATCAGTGACGGGGGTGTTTTCCCATCGTTACTGTAAAATGACGGTTTTGCATTCCCGTTGTTGTGTAATGATGGTTTCATACTCCCGTTGTTATTGTGTAACAACGGGTGACATCCCCGTTGTTGAAGACCAATTAATGACGGTTGGATACCATTGTAGAAGTCCTCATGATGGGTAATTAGTAACTCATCAACGATGGTGTTTTCCCTTTGCTGATGTACTAAATACAATTTATAAAACCGTCATTATAGACTACAAATTTCTAATATACATTAATGATAATTTTTTCATTCATAGGCAACTATCATAGAAAACTTTTATATTATTCTCAACATGACACTGAGATTCACACCATAAGTATATTAAAAATAATCAATAATTAATAAAAGGAAAAACAAAAACTCCATTTATTAATAACATCAATAAATAAAAGTCCATCATCCTCAAATATTCAATACTAATAACAAAAGTTAATATTCTAATTGTTCCAAAGAAAAATATGTGAAACTATCTAAAGTAAATTAAAATAAAAGTCTGGGAAAGACACATCCTTTCATCTCTAATCATTGTCAAAAAGAAGACTCAGCCTACCCCCTCTCCTAATCTTGGATAGCCTGAAAAAATAAAAAAATCACATAATTAAGAAATATCAATTAAGCAAATATTATCTTATTAAGTAAAAAATCACATTTTCCCTTTTGGATGAGAAGCAAAAAGACGGGGAGTCTATTGATAATTTTGTCAAGCGCTTCCGTGACAAGGTAATGAATTGCAGAGATCCTGTTACAGAGGAGTTTATCCTGCAAACATGCCACAATAATCTCTCCATTGATGTCCTGGAAGCCCTGGGGGTCGTACCATCCAAAACTTGGAAAGAGTTGAAATTACGTGGCGAACAAGCTGAACACTTTCTTAAAAGAAAGAAAGCTGAAACTATCTAAAGTAAATTAAAATAAAAGTCTGGGAAAGACACATCCTTTCATCTCTAATCATTGTCAAAAAGAAGACTCAGCCTACCCCCTCTCCTAATCTTGGATAGCCTGAAAAAATAAAAAAATCACATAATTAAGAAATATCAATTAAGCAAATATTATCTTATTAAGTAAAAAATCACATTTTGTCTAGTGCAAATAGTCAATCATAAAAGTATATAAAAGATTTTACAAAAAATAATTACCTAGTCCGACGAACCACTGACTGGACCCATCGAGGGAGATCAACACCCTCGTCGTTGAGCAAGGCTTGGGATAGGGCTTTTATGGTGAGAAGCTCAAGCAGGAGGACAACGAAACTGTAGACATCTGCTTTTTGAGAGACTCTACGAAGGTCAGTGACCTACAGTGCACGGTAACCAGCTCCATGTGTAGGAGCGGAGGAAGCAACGGAGCCTACTAGGTGGGCAAGGCCATGGTCGGAGGCATGGGCATTTTCATGGGATTTGCAAAGAAGAATGTTGGAGGATTTGATTTTGCCGTGGGAGAAGGTGGGGGAGGTTGAATGGATGTAGGCGAGGCCTTGGGCAGAGGCGAGGGCGATTTTTGATTCGAGTCTCCTAGTTGAGTGGGGTTCGGCCTGACCCTCAGTTGCCTAAAAGATTGATGAATTGTGTAAAAGAAGCTATAGAAATGTTTCTATTTCTCATACAGAAACTCATGTATTTCTGATCAATGAAACAACTAGATTCATGGATGACTGTCAAATCATAAGAATAGATGCAAATGAAAAAATTGATACGAGGTGACAACTCATTTTACTAAACGAGCTATCGAAGATGGAAATTGTTGAAAGATTCGTTGCAATAGTTGATGCGAAACGGGACAGGGGGTCTATCAGAATCAGCGATTTAAATTGAATAAGGCACCATTTCGTCAAAAATCATGATCTTCGGTAAGAAATTAACTTAAAACGATTAATGTGATAAATAGATTTTAATAAGACTGGCAACGATAATCATGAACAATTCTAATCTCAAACAATTCAATTGTCGGATTAATTATCATTGCACAAGTTCTAAGATCAATATCAAAATTGCAACAGTCACATGTTCAGTTTCTCTCAACTCACAATTAGACTTTAAGCAGTGAATATAAGATAATAGTTTAGAGGTGATATACTCATGCAATTAGCTAAATAAATGAGATTAACAAAAAATACTGAGTCAAGAGAAAACGAAACCTTCGGACTCAAACCTAAATGAAATGGGTCGGATCTGATTCAAAGCAACACAGATATGACTTCTCTGTTCGGAGCAGCTTCGATCTGAGGATAGGAGGATGAGGGCTGATCGATGACAAAGATCGATGGCGGGAGGAGGCGAACTGGCGGCGGATCTGTTCGACGACGTGGGGCCGCGAGCGGGCGGCGGGCCTGTTCGACGACAAAGGCGAACGACGACACGATCGGAGTTGTCGGCGGTGTGGCAGAGGGCGCCGGTCATCGGGGTAGCTGTGGACGGCGGCGAAGTGTTAGTGGGCTGATAGGGGTGAGCAAGGGGAATTTGTTGGGTTGCCTCTGAGCAAAGGAGAGCCAGACAGCGATTGTTGGGGAAGGGAGACACGACGACGGCTGTTGGGGAGGCGAGACCCAAGCGGTGGATCAGGGATCTCTGCAGGCGGTCAGAGGTGGAGGAGGAACGACAGGTGGAGGGGAAGGATGAGGGGTTTTGTTGGTGGGGTTTTGATTCTAGCGGCGAAGTTTGGTCTATGGGAGAGATGAACGAGAGAGAGAGGGATCTCGTCTGCTAGGGCTTGGAGATTGAGTTATTTTACGTGGAGGAGAATAGAGAAGATCTGACGGCTGAGGAAAGAGAGAGAAGAAACAGCATAGGCTTAGGGTTTCACACTCATGGTTTCACACCAAATAAGCTAACACAATTTCATTTCAATTTTCCATTTTTTATTGATCTTTTCTTCTCATTACAACCATTTTTATAAAGAGAAAATTACAAATTTCAATTCCCTCAAATCACTCAACTACTAAATTTGATTAAAATTTAAAAATTTAAAAATTCAAATTTTGAAAATTAAAATCCTAGCAAAAATAAGAAAATCCCTCAAATCTCTCACAATTATTAACTACCAAATTAAACAACAATTCAAATTTCAAATTTCAAATTTCAAATTTCAAAAATTCAAACTAAGCTAAAATGGAAGGTTGTCAATTCTTGTTCGCATCAGTAGTCATTTCTAAATCTTGGTTACTTATTTGGTTGAAAGAGGTGGCAGCTTATACCCAATATTATATGTATGCATATATAGTTTATAGGGGTGAACAAGTTGCGGTATTCCGCAGAGGTGTAATTTTTCATGTCACCCATCAAACACAATGTGACGCAATATGCAAAACAGAACACAAACAGAGATGTAAAACCCTCTTGAACTTGTAAAACGAGTATACACACACAAAAGAACTAACTTGGATGGTTTGGGACATTTACACTTCCAAATAAGAAGAGCATTATCATACAAAATATAAATCTTTACAGAGGACATTAGTTGGTTAGTTGGAGGAATGCTTCTTTGAATATATAGCTAGCATAAATCCAAGCATTGAAAGGATAAATTTCCAAGTCTTGTTATTATGATCTTCTAAACGGGTACGCATAATGTTAAAATCTTAGGCTATGGCTCTAGAAATGCATCAAGACATGACTCTTAAGGAGGAATCCGCCGAAAGGAATCAAAAGATTCTAAGGCAAACTTCAAATTAGTTGGTGATTATTAGAGAACATCATTAGCATTGACTTCTGTGGTATACCAGTGGATAATTCTTAATATTTATGGACAATGTTACATGCATCTCTAGGACATCAACAAGCATCTCCAGCACAAATCATAATGATAAATCTGACATCAGATAATATAAAAACCTAACCCACAATTATAGTAATCCTTGTAATGACTACCCATGCAACCCAATTATTGCATCTTAACAATCTAATAAATAAAAGATGGAATCAAGCACACCTAATTCTACTTTTTTTTTATCAATTCGTGTATGATTAGCCACCAAAACTAAGATTTGAGCTTATAAACATGAAGGAGAAGAGTCTTACAGCCCTGAAACTTATGATAACCCTATTTTCTTCAACACTACATATATTCACATAAAAGCCTCCAACATCCACAAAGCTCATTGTCAATTTAGCTTCAATGCAATTAAAGCCTACATATAATCTGCAAAAGATAGCTCCTGAACCCACGCTTATGTTAGAGCAAGCACTAGAACAAATACCCACTAAGCAAATAATAACCAATTGAACAATAAATCACTTGACCAATTTTCAGCTAAAATAAGCTTTAAACATATGCAAAAATAACAAGAAAAAGTAATCTCACCATGCAACAATGCTGAAAGGCTTCCCAATGGCATGAAATCATAAACTAGCAGCTTCTCATCCTTACTGAAATAATAAGCTTTCAAAGGCACCAAGTTAGGATGATCCATAGCCCCAATCCCCTCAATCTTCTCCTTAAACTCCCTCGCACTCAGATTCACATCCTTCAGCCTCTTAACAGCCACCACCATCCTCATTTCAAGCACGGCCTTATACGCCTCCCCAAACGTCCCCTTCCCCAAAACCTCGGCCGAAGCCCTAAGCAAATCCTCGAGATCAAACTCCTCTTCCTCCATCCATAAAGAACACCAATTTCCTCGAATTTGCAGTCTCTAGAGCTTTCTGCACCGCAGTTGTGGCCCCAGATGTCGCGTATTCTCCCATTGGCACCTCTGGCGGTTTGGGTCCTCCACTGGGCACCACAGCTGTCGTCCTCTCCTTCGAACCACCTCTCTTTCTACAGAGGAAAATCAATCGAGATGACGACGAGTCTCGACGAAGATCTGGGGCCGATGACGAGATGGAAACGACGACGAGTCTCGACGACGAACTGGATCGGCGCTCGACGAGTCTTGACGACGAACTAAATCGGCCGAGACGACGATCTGGAGACGATGACGACCTGGAGATGATGAAGTGGGAGCCGACAACGAGCGGGAGATAGACGACGAGATGAAGACGGCGATGATCAGGAGAAAGTCGGTGTTTTTTTTAATCTAGGGTTTAATTGCTGCGGATCGACTCCTTAGAGGGATGATTAATTATAGGAGTTACGGGGGATTTGGATTTCAGGTTTCGGGTTCTAATTGGGGCTTCGGGGATTTTGGTTGTGGGTTTTTTTGTGTTAGGAATTATAAATTGATGTTAATTTTTTGGGTAATTTATATGAGTGAACGGTGAAAAGTTGTGTCAACTTAAATAGATAGTAAATAGTGTGTCCACCTAACTTTTTATCCATGGATCTTGTCTAAGGATCCTTGCATGATATGAAGAGGTTTTTTATATTAATAAATGTGTGGCTAGGAACTTTGGTGGACATCAACTTAAGTGGATAGGAGTCTTGCTCATGAATGAACATGCAAGGAGACAATGCCTAAGAAACATGATAAAATTGTTTCAAACTGGAATGTGAATGACTAATAAATTATGTTTGAACAAGGTGGTCAAACATTTTGATGGGGATTGCAAAAAAATTCTAAACTATAAAGATTAAATTTAAAATTTCAAAATTTTACATAAGAAGATGAATTGATGGCCCTCCATATGAATTGTATCTGAAGTTGTTAATGGCTTATGGCGGAGTTTTAATAAGGAACGCGGGATGGAGAGAGAATCGTTTGTTTTTGGAATTTTTATTTAGATATTAATTTTGGGTCAATGTTCTTAAATTGTTTGATGAGATATTGATAGGTTTTTGTTAGTTTTTTAACTAATCCATCTGTCACGTTTTAGCTTAAATTTTAACGGGAGAGAAGGATAATAAAGATTAAAACGTGGGGGTAGTTGTAGTGGATTGGAGTTTGGTTTTTTTATTTTTTTTATTTTTTGAATTTTCCATGTTATACCTTTAATGAATTTTTAAATTATTTTTAATTTTGGGGTATTGGAATGATTTGAATTCCTGACTTACACAGGGACAGACCAAAATTTAGGACCAAAAGGGTGATATTTCTTTATTAATAGTAATAGGTTAACTTTTTAGTTCTATTATGATTAGGAGTATCATCAATGAAGGTAATGGACCCCTTCATCTTTAAGGAGATCCAATAACGACGATAGTAGGATCAAATCAATGAAGGGACTAGAAATCCGTTATCCCATCTCACATCATTCCTCTAATATTTGGAATCACTTGACGAAGGCTTTAAAACTCGTTGTTAATATATGCACATTAATGACGGTTAATTGATCTCTTCGCTAATTTTGGTCGTTAAATACCATATTTCTTGTAGTGAATTTTTCTCTCCAAAACTCATTTCTAATCATGCCTACAGTGACATCATGAGAAAAGAAAGAGGGGGTATTATGATCTTCAAATGTTTGAAAAAGTTGGGTTTTATGTTTTGGAGGCTAAAAGATTATTATAACTCTGAACCATCACAATTTTATAGTTTTAGTGCACTTGCAAAGACTGAGAAGTGACCATATCATTCCTCTGCCAAAACATGTGAAACTGAACTATTTGATTTCTCAAGGAAAATCCCAACGAACGCCAGTTCCTTAATCAACAAAAAGGAATTTGAGCTCCCAACCAGTACAATTCTTCAAGCAAGCATTGTCTCTTACAGATAGAAGTGGACATGCATGTAAGTGGGCAGGAAAAAGATGCAGAACCTTCTTAAAGCTAGTTTTCTAAACAAAATCCTCAACAAACTGAAAGCAACAAGACAATGGTTCCATATAATGCAAAAGTTCATATTCTGTTTGGGATCTGTCACAAAAACTTGCTGAAAGAGTTGGAAAAGATTAGGATGCTTCTTTGCTGGAATTTTTGATAGGAGTGACCACTCGTATGATGTTCGATAAAATTTTATGAAACTTGTGGTGTGCGTAAAAATAAACTCATAAGAGTTCTAGCGTGTTGTAGCTACTATTGGTCACTGGTCCCTTATTAAAGAAAATGACATATTAGCTATCCGCAAGTAGGGGCTAATTAGTTTTTATATGTACAGATTTATATACTTTTACTACAGATAGACAGCAGATAATCCACTTCTTTGTATGAGATCTTCAAAGCTAAAACATTCTGACTCTGTTGGATAACGGATTCCTAATCTATTTTGATAACATGAGGTTATTAGAATTCTTAATCTATTTTGGTAACATGAGGTTATTAGGATTCCTAATCTATTTTGGTAATAGATTATTAGGATTCCTAATTTGTTTTGGCTTTTGGTTTAGAATTCCTAGTATGTTTATGATTTTAGGATTTCTATATATATGGAACAATTGGAAGAGAGAATTTAGAAGAAAATTGGGCATATTTGGAGCACAGAAAAGAGGTATTTTCTGAGCTATTTGTTTAGGGTTTTGTTTGGAGAGATTAAGAGCTTGTTGGTGAGATTAGTTTGTTCCTTCGAGTGATTTGCAATCTCAGTTTGTACTCTTTCTCTATTAGTGAAAACTCCATCCCCTTCTTGCCCCGTGGACGTAGACAACTTGCCGAACCACGTAAATCTCTTGTGTTATTTGGTGATTGTGCTTGTTTATTTGGTTGTGATCTCTCTTGTTTGGATTGTGTGATTCCACCGCTTCCGCGCCGCGCACAACAGACTCAACGTCTCGAAAACAGGAGAAAATTCTTCTTTTTCTTTTTCTTTTGTTGGTCCCCATCAGAATCTCAAACCAAAGTGTAAGTGCATAAACATATATATTTTGCCTATGTTTTTAGTAGCTTAAATCCATTCAAGCGGTAGCACTTTTCTTCAAGTTATTTATCTCAAGCCTGTCATTGACCAAAACCTACCTGCACGCTGAAGTTCACGATAAACTAGTCGCTCTGCGAGATCAGAGACTAAAGAACTATTTGATTGGCTACAACTATAATTGCAATGTAATTATTAGTTGTATGCTACTGTACTTTCTGCATTTGTTGTGGGTCCAACCCAAGATAAGGCCTACATGAGGTTCACATGAATTAAAATTCTATCTAGATGAGGATTTGGATGATCTATTTATAATAGGAATAGGTTAGGTGAATTCTATTTATGAGAACCGTGTTATCAATTTTGGTGAACAATAACCGAAAAGAAAAGAGAGGGGAGAGAGAAAAAAAAGAGAGAGAAATGTTCAGATTCAGGATAGCTCGGTTGTCCGATTGTAGTGATTCAAAAGCCGTTGTCTTCAAAATGACGACGCTGTCGAGGGTACGATGTTGCTTTCTCTACGGGTATTGGAGATTTTTGGTGAGACGGGTTTTAGAATTTTGGTACCCTAAAGGTAACACTGTATTTTTCTCTTGTGATTTTATCCTTAAGTTTAGGTGTAACTTGGAGGGCTCGTACTCTTGATTCATAGTAAAATATTTCTCTCTGGATTACCCCGTGGACATAGACATGATTTGCTGAACCATATTAAATCTTGGTGTTTGCTTGCTTGTGGTATTTTCATTGGTGTTATTATTCGTTTAGTGTTTAACTCCGTAAATTAGTCTTCATAAAATCCCTAACAAGTGGTATCAGAGCCCTGATTCGAGGCGTACTTTGGGATGGAAAAAATGAAGAGTTTTGACACAATGATAAAATTAGATAGTTCCAATTGGCAAGTATGGAAGTCTAAGATGGAAGATATTATGTATTGTAAAGATTTACATAACCCTATTGAGGGAGATGATGCCAAGCCAGAAAAGATGACTGATAAATAATAAGAGAAACAACACAGGAAGGTGATCGGTTATATTCAGATGTGGATCGACGTTAATGTGTTTCATTATGTATCGGGTGAGACTAATGCGAAGTCTTTTTAGAAGAAGCTTGAGGATCTCTACGAGCAGAAGACCACGGGAAACAAGGCGTTTATTATGAGGTGGTTTGTGAACTTGAAATTCAAAGAAGGAAGCAACATAGCAGGGCACTTAAATGAGTTTAAGAGTTTGGTTAATTGGTTAGCTATCATGAAGATGACTATCGATGTTGAGCTACATGTTTTATTACTATTGGGTTCTTTGCCAGATAGTTGGGAGACACTAGTTATGACAGTCAGCAACGCAGCTTCAGATGGTGTGTTATCGATGAGTATGGTTACTAGTAGTTTATTCAATGAGGAGACTCGGAGGAAGTCTACCAGCACAGATAACTCACAACACTTATCACGGAGAATAGGTGTAGGAGCAGGTACAGGGACCAGTCCATAGGTCGTGGCACATCCAAGGGCAGATCAAAGTCTAAAGGGAGAGATTGTTTTTATTGTGGGAAGCCAAGTCGTATCAACAAGAATTGTTGGGCATTGAAGAAAGAGCAAGCTGGTAACAAAGATAAAAAGAAAGATGAGAAGAAAAAAGATAACAACGACACTACAACTACTTTGTCTAAGACTGAAGTTATTCTTATTTGCAGGGAAGAAGACTGTATGCATGTTACAAGTCAGAATTCTGAGTGAATAGTGAATACAGGAGCTACATGTCATGCTACCTTCAATCGAAACCTTTTCACGTCGTATAATTAGGTGACTTTGACAATGTGTGTAGGCGTCAAAAAATGCTTACAGACATTCAAACACCACTCAAGACGACATAGAAGAACAATATACACGTCATCAAGCAACGCATGGCGGCGCGGCAAGACATGGTGCCGCGGCTAAGGCGCGGCAGACCAAGGTGTCGCGGCTAAGGCGCGAGTCGCGGCTTAACCGCTGCAACCTATGGTGCCGCGGCAGTTAAAGAATGATGATGTGGCAGTTATAAGGGAGTTATCTGATGATTTTTAAAGTCCACGTAGCGGCGTATCAGAGATAGAACGTGTGCTGACGTGGACAAGCAGTTAAACCACGAAAAAA